AAACGACTGGTACAAACTCTGGAAAATTCGACTCAACCAAGACAAATCGCAACACATCACTTTTACTCTTCGACATGGAACATGCCCTCCTATTTACCTTACCAATGCCGAAATTCCTCAAACAGATAAAATACAATATCTTGGACTGACATTCGACAGATGAATGACATGGGGTCCACATATCAACAAAAAAAGAAAAACTTTAAACCTCAGACTACGACTGTTATACTCACTTCTCTCAAGACGCTCAAAATTAAACCTAAAACAAAAACTGAACACTTACAATTATCTACTTAAGCCCATATGGACCTACGCTTCATAAATTTACGGAACAGCCAAAACGACACACATACGAAAACTACAAACTTTTCAGTCTAAAACTTTCAGAACCATAACCAAAGCCCCATGGTACGTCACAAACATTACACTACATAAAGACCTTCAAATGCCAACAGTTAACGATCACATACGGACATACTACAAGCGATTTCACAATAACTTACATGGACATACTAATACACTTACACAAAGTATGGCTACATTTAACATGCCCGAAAACACACTTAGGAGGTTCAAAAGGAGCTGGATGAGGAATTTCCTCACTTAAAAATATGCTAAAATCAAGACAGGAAGGGATGCCGCTGAGCACTCCTCTCCATCACGCCGATCAAGCCACTACCTGTACACTTACCGACAGCAGACCTGCTAATTGTCATTGCTTATGACAGGTGTGGGTGAATAAATAAAGTTAATACAAAAAAAGTTAATAAAAATTGTATCATATTTAATCTAGTTTAAAAATGTATAGATGGTTTTATGTCGAAAATGTGCTCCTTCATGGATAAAATAGGAAAAAAACAAAAAAAAAAAGTGAAAAATATAGCATTTTTGGGGATATTAAAAGTGATCCAGAGGGGGCGGGGAGGAGCGATATCGAAAACTTGGATTTTGCATCTCGCTCATATGCCATACAAGAAAAAAACAAACAAAACCCCATTCAATGCAACTTATGATATACAATCTTACAGGGCTATAGGGTATGAACATCAAAAGTCCTGACGTCTCGGTGGTGAGCTAGGGGGAGAAGGAGGATGAGAGAAAAGGTCACAATTTTTGGATCTTCGCGTATATCTCGAAAACAGTGCATTGCAGGAGAAATTTTATGTATAACTATTTATACTTATAACTATATATATTTATTATTTATATAACTTTATATATATATTATATAGCTATATATATTTACGTATAACTATATATATTTTATGTATAGTTGACATTTTCGCAAAAAATCATTTTGCCTAACATTTTTAATCAAACATTCCTTCACATCATCAAAGCTATTCATCAGAGAAAGAAATTAATTTAAAATAAGTTGTAGATACTTAAATTTTCTATTAGAATATACGCAAATTAATCTCCAACCAGTCCACAATCACACCTATTTTAAATGTTTTCGTAAAATGTTGTCATTTTCAGAATAAATTCAATAAATCAATCAATCTTTATTTTTATTAAGGGAAGAACCCTACTCAACTGGAGTCTATCACAAAATAACAAACATTGTTATCCTTATGGAAATACAAATTCCTTTTTATAATACATAACAGATATTACAACACTCTTAAGCATGAATTAAAAATCATATTCAGTAAAGGTCAGACAGGTAAAATAGTTCCAATTAACAAATTAATATAAAATTGTCAACAATATACATAAATAAATACACTTAAAACAATAAAAACACATTTTAAAAAAAATATTAATATTAAACTATGTCTTAAAATTAAATTAAAAAATTACCCCTATACCTATGAGAACAAAAAAGAAAAATACTGGGACAGATTGTATGCGGATGTACAATATGGAATTTTTGCCATAATATGCAGAGGACAATAATCCAGATTACCCTACCAACTTTCTATAATTGAGATAAAAAAAAAATTCAGAATAAGTTGTTTTTATCATATTCTTGACCTAGAATATATCTTTGTTTGTCTAACAATATGTGTGACCACACTTTAAATCCAATTATTAAATAAAGTAGAAAAAAATCATGTTACTTAAAAAAAAATTTATTTTAAATTTAAATAAAAATATAACAATTAGATTAAATGTAAACCTTATATTTCATAAGTAAATTCCTAATAAATACAAGTTATGAATGAATATTTATCAACAATAAAGGAACCTACTGATGAAATCATTTTTATTGGTCAATGTGGCTTAAATAAAAGCTAGTGACATTTTAAAATAAAACTTTGTTAATAATTTTACCTGAAGTACCAATCAAGTTGTTTACATACTTGAAGATTTTAAGTAAAATCATATTTTATACCAACATTCCTTAACAATATTTGATGTGCAAGAACCTGAATTTTACCATTATTGATTAATTTGTACTTTAATTGTTCAAATCTGAAATTTGTAATGAATATATCAACCTTTTCAATCTCTATTCTAGAAAAGAACTCTGCTGTGACATAAACAAGGATTTCTCATTCTTGTTTTCCCAGCAATTTTGAAAACCCTGCTCAGTATCTTATTCTAGTGACTTATCACCAGAATCTGTTTTTCTGATGTTCATATTATCTTATAAATCTAAGTAACTAAATGGAATCAAAGGAGGGAGGATGAAATTAATACATCATATTAAACAAACTAAATTGATAAAATTGAATATTTTCTGATGGATTTAATAATTTGTTAAATGTGACTTGTTTGGTTTACACTAGTAATACAATACTTACCAATATTTTTATGTGCCCTTCCAAAAAAAAAAAAAAATAAAAAATAATAATACTTAATGATGATGTAGTCATGGAGTACATGAACAACCTCATGGCTCAAACCATGCCCTGAAGATGACCCACATGTTTGGGTTGAAACGTTGGCAAAAATAAAAAAATTTTTAAAAAAGACTGCTTCCTGAATATTTATCACCCATATAAGATGTAACAAATACAACATTTACTTTCTTTTATGGAAGTTTTTATTGGCAACCCCTGAATTAATTCAACAAGTTCCCAACAAAAGAAGAAATTTAATTTTACTTTCACTTACTAATGTACTCACTTAAATAACATCTGTGTAATTTATGTTTTATCATATATGAGGAATGTGTGGGTCTCAAAATACTATATACAAATACATTTGTGGTATTAATAAATGGTAACTCTCCTAATAATTAATATTTATATGTATAAATGGGAAAACATAATTAAAATTTTATGTTATAAAACTTATGCCTAAACAAATAAAAATACCTATAATGAAATATAACAAAAACAGAGAATATGATTCACTAAATCCTTATGAAGTTCTGAATCCAATGGTGCACTATTCATGGCATTTGAGTATGATAGGAGCTTATATTTCATACAAAAACGACTTCGAGCCTTAGTGAAATAATATATGTAAGCTTATCCCACAGAAAAATATATTCTTAGTTAAGTAAGAAAAATCGGGTTTCATAACCCAGTTTTATACTCGTTTTCAGTTGATGAAGAATGGGCCCCTTAGTTTGTGATTCTCTTTTTAAGAATAGAATATATATATACAAAGCCGGACCAGTATAAGAACTTCATCACTCCTATGACAATATCAATAATTAAGAAAATGTCCACAAGATGTGTTAAGGTTTGTGAAAAGAATCCCAAAACTGTATATCAGAAAACCCCAAAGGACCTCAGGTCTATTCTCCTTTGTGGACATTTTAATATTTTTTGTTCATCCTAGATCAGTTGTCTTCAACATTTTCCATGCGAGGCCACATTTATAGGATAATAGTCAAGCAGGAGGACACCATTTTGTGGGTGTTTTCCTACATTTTTTATTATCTGATATTGTTAAAAAGTAAAAAATAATTTTAACATATAAAGAAGTATTAGATTCATATATACAATAAATAATTATTTATTAATATACAAAGATGAGAAGATATTAAATTTGTCCATAAAAGACTACCTCTCTGCTATGTTCAACTTAGTCTTGCATTCTTTTACACTTGGTTCGGTGGATTTTAATAATTGTTAGTCTCTTTCGAGATAGGTGACAACTTTTCTTAGCTTTTGGTCTAATGATATATATTTTTTTAATTAAGTTAAGACGTGGTATTTGCACTGCATTTCATTGGTCAGTGCAACATAATTTGGAGAATATGATTATAATATAACTACTTGAAACAATAAAGTAAGAGACCTGAATATAACAAATAAATAGTTTTCTTTCTCCAAGAGAAAAACCATGATGATGACGATGACTGGAAATTATTGTCAAGAGTGCTTTTATATAAGAATAAATTATTATAAAAAACATGATTTTATTTCCAATTACTTACTTAGATTATAGATATTAAAAAAATAAATTAAATATTTTATAAAACTCCTTCAACAGTATCACTGAGTAATGCAGTAACCAGCTGCCATGATAGTCACTGTTACACATGTTAACAGTGACTACATATGCTCATATGTATCATGCATGTAAGCAAAGTTGTGCACAAGATTGGGGGCCGCTTCCTCATTTCAAAATTAATAGTAAAATTTTAATTTTTAAAACCTAAACAATTTGCGATAAGTACTCTATGGCATCTGGGAGGGATTTGAATATACTTATGTTTTATCACATTAGCATTTTAAAAGAAATGCTAACTTTTTATCTTTATGACAACTTTGAAACCATTAAATCCTGACTTGTTCCCTTATAAAAGTTATAGTATGAATTAAAGGATTGAAAATGGTTTTCATCACTTCTCCATGAAATTCTTGACTTTTTTTTCCCTAAATCCATCATAAATAATCTACAGCCTTGTCGGGGTTTAATAGAACCAATTTCAAACACTAAAATGCAATAAAAAACAAATATTAGTTCTTACAAGACTTACTAAATGAAAACTGATTTCACAATACCATTCAGGAACACATAATTTAATTTTTATGGAAATGAATTAACATATTAAAGGAATTACATCTTAATATAAAGTAGTTTAAATAAAATATCTGATGTAGTTCACCATTTATTATAAAACATGAAACCAAAATATCAAATGAGATTTTACTACAATAATATTGACACTTAAAATTTTATTTGAGATTTAATTTGTAATGAAAAATGTACAAAAGTTATAGTCAATACATGTAATTCCCGATAAGATTTACCAGTCCTTGCATGGCTTTTGCCGAGTCGCTTTCATTACGATTTATATTAACTGTACACTTAAAATTAGCGGTGAAATAAATACTGTACATAACCACTTAACTACACCACTCTTCTAACTTCAAAAAATCGCTTTAGATAATAAACTTGCCCAACAGTCATTGTAATAAGAACAACTGCTTCAAAAATAGACCAGGTTACAACTCTACTGTTAGTTGCCTCATTTATACCATGATGAATACGATCACGTACACTCATATATTCTTGTTCATGTTTAACACCAGTTAATGCAGCAGATAAGTCTTTTATCATTTGCTCCATCTTGTTGTGATCAGCATCATTTTTATTATCGCTTGACGGAGCTTCACCAACCTCCATGTTGAACATGACAACTTTTGGTGTCATAGTAGACATTTGATTGCTGAAACAGTATGTGTACACACCAGATGCATGAGCTGAAAAAGTATATTTTCCACTAGTTTCTCTAGCACCTTGATGAATTATGCTATCATCTGGACCAATAATTTTGACATCTATGTCCAAGAAACCTCCTTCAGATATCTCAAACATTAAACCAAGCTTAGTACCTTGTTCTACTTTTTCAAAGAAACATTCTTCAGAATGAGCATCAACTGTCACGAAATATGCTGTGGAAAAACTAGCACAAACTAACAGAAGAAATATATTTACAATGAAATGCATGGTAGAAAAAAACTAAACTACAACTAAATATTACACATAAAAACTTTATGAAGATGTGGCATGAGGAGGCTACATGAACAAAAGGTTATAAGGTTATGCAGTAGATAGAGTGACAGAATTATTATTCAAAATAAAGAAAAACTCTTTTAAGAAGAAATATTTTAGAATGAAGTATGTTTATTTTTAAATAAAAATCAGATAGGTAAAGATCAGACAGTTGTTTCAAGTTATTATTGAAAACAAATTATATAGTATGTCCTTCAAAAATATAAATTTGTGTATGACTTTTTTTCTTTAAATTACATTACTAAAGATAACAAAAAATATGTTAGATTAGATATTATTTCCTTGAGTTTTTCTCAATGTTTTAAATTTTAGAATTATTAAGTAAGCAGTGCTCTGTCATTGGTTTAAATCCAAGACAGGATAAGTACATTCAATTTTATCTTTTTATTTGATTCAGATTATTAAAGTGATCAACTGAATTAGTCGTTAATATGTAATCATAACTGTGTAAATTAAATAATTGCTTATTAAAATTTAACTATCAATTACTTGTTTTATAGTATTAATTCCTATATCTGAAAATAATAATTTAAATAATTGATGGCTTACCTCTAAACACTTGTAAGTTCATAAATCTAATTTTATACCAGCTTTTCTGTAATATTTTGAAAAATTTCAGAAATCTGTAGAAAACATCACACATTATGGGTAGGTATAACTGTAAATCAATGAGCATTAGGCATTTGCATGACTTTAATAAACTGAAAAAATGGAGGAAGTTAATTGGAGTTACAAAATTTTAGAAACAAGCTAATTGTAATATATATGTATAATGGAGTGCTTCGATGATGCATAAACCATTCCCATTCTCCCAACATATTTTATTGCTCTCCTCTTCTTAAAAACAGAGCAAGTGTAAAACAGTGAACATAGAATGAAAAAAATCATTGCTAACAGTACACAGAATTCGTAATTCCATCAAAACATGCTCTCCCCCTCCTCAAAATTTATAAATCCCATCAAAATGAGACCCTTCCAAAAATTTTGATGGTGCAGCTTGCCAAAAAGAAGATTCAATAACTTTTCCCACACTATATTTTTCAAGGTCACTTTAATGTAATTATTTAAGGTTTTTTCAAGCCATACAATAATCACAATTTAAAAGCTATACAAGCTATGTTAGCAATTCCATTTTAAGCAACAGAAAAGGGAGACTAACTAGCATCAGGTTTATGAATTGACAAACATTTTATTAAATTCAAATAAAATCTTATGAACAAGTTTTGTTTTTTATTCTTGTACTGACAGTAAAAGACAATACAATTTTGTAATATGGAGACTTGTTAGGTATGTAATGTATGTAATAAACTTTTAATATCTTTAAAATGAGCCAATTGGTTCGAAACGTAATGACATAAATAAATGGAAAATTTGAAGGAAAATTTATTGCTTGAAAACACTTTATATTAAAAGTGTTCAATTTTGTAATATCGGCTAATTTCTTAAATATAAATTTATATTGATAGTAGGGAGCCACAGTTTTAATGATTTTTAAGTGGCGAGAGGCAATAAGGTTGATTCTAAAAGTTTTAAAAATAATTGTGGAATTCATGATTTTCTCTACTTTCTTTCTTTGTATAATTCAGACTAATAGCGTATTTATAATTTTTTATTCAAATCTTCTATATTCTTCATTATATTTAAGAATGTGAAATTTCATATAGCTTTGTCAATAAAAATAATGAATAAATTTCCTTAAGAAAAAAATCATCTTTTTTTCTACTTAAAAATGTTGAATTAGGTATTAAACTTGATAAATAAATTCACGAGTCAATAATTTTCTTTTAATAGAAAAGTGAAAGTTGTGAAGATTAACTGAGTAATTTATTATGAATTATTATTTTTTTAAAATAAAGAATAAAAATAATAAATAAAAGTTAATTGTATAGGTAATGCATAATAAATATTTTATATGATGTATACATAGAAAATAGTAAATATAAAATTAATTGCTATATGTAAATTTTATTCCAATAAGTTGGTTATATCTGTATTATAAATTTCATTCTGGTATTCGCTCTTCTATGCATTTATGAAAAAAAATGTTGGCAATGTTTTATTAATGTGTAGTGTTAATTTTGTCATTCGAAAATAAATATATTTATTTATTTACTTACCATTAAATTTGCCACTGCGTTGTAACGCATCAAGCAAATGTGCAATAGCAAATATATAATAGCAATAAAAGAAATAGTTACTAATCCTCTGATTATTATATAAAAAAGTATATGCTGCTGAGAAATTAGTTGGTTAAAATGAATTTACATCTTAAGTAATTGGGTTATTAAAACATGATTTTCAGACCTGTCACTCTGTTGGTTCTTGGATATCAATTAGGAACTGTAATTTTTGTTGTCTGTAAAGATCACTCATTTAACATTCATGAAATCGTACTTTGTGGATGAATTTCTCCCTTTTCTTTATCTTTTCTGTAATAGTCTAAGAAAATCCTCTTTCCTAAATCCAAATGTCTAAGAAATTATTATTATTTTTTTTCAGATAAGAGTCATATCTTGTTCTAGTTGAAATGTATAGTGGTTATAACAGATTAATTCAAAAAGGAAAACTATATAAGGCAAAGTAAGGTAAATAATTTAACTCTATTACCCAGTAGAAAAAAATTAATAATGTTTTCTCTTTTTTATTATATTTTTCTCATATTTACCATTCTTAAGTTCTTTGTTGAATTAATAAATATTTTCAAACAGTTTAAAAGGATTATATTGCTTATGTTTTTAAGTAGTTTACATATATTCTCTTCCAAACAAAGTTGGCCTTGTGGACAACGGACTACAAAATTTTAAGATTTGATATTTTCTTTTGTGAAATCTGTTAATTATTTATTCTGGAAATGGACAAAACTACCAAAGTACATTGTGTTGCTATAAACCAGGATAATTTTCAGCTAGATTTCTTTATTACTAGCTGAAGGTTATCTGATGTTTTTATTTTGTTTTGACCCCTTTTAACACTACAGTAGTCCCATTCCTTTACATATGAGGTGACCAGATTTTAACATTGGTAAAGCGGGACACCATTTACCGGGAGAGTGGAGAACATGATCCGAATTTGTTGTTACAATAATTAATTTTACATAATGATGATCTGGTGTAAATATTAATCAGGTGACATATTATTCAGCTTAAATAAGGTAGAGAATTTAGTACTAAAGACGTATTTTGAGAGTGAATAATTTGATAGTATATTGAATATCTAATTTATGACTTCTGTAATAAAACAGTTTTTAAAAGTTATATGTTTTGTGCCAGCAGTTTGTACATTCAAAATGCTATAAAACTTATTGAAGGTGACAAAATTTCGGTAATCAAAGTACCAAATTAAGTTAATTTGCTGATGCCAACTATTTAGCCTTTTCCTTATCAACATATTTTTTAAAATTATGATACCTTATTAAGAATATCATTTTTGGATTGTTTATAAAGTCCAAACAATGGTGGTTGAAATTCTAACTAGTGATCAACAATGCGAACTTCGCTAAGCAGTTCTTCATAAGCAGTTATAATTTATCTTATATATTTATAATTTATCTTATATTATAACTTCATAGGAAGTTATAATTTCTAAAATTCCATTTTATTAAAGTTTAACATTATAAAATTAACAAAATATTATAAAAATCATATCATGGTGAACTAGCCACATGGCCGCTGAAAACTGTATATTCTCCTGCCATTCTCTTGTGCTTTCTTTCGAAAAGACTTTTTAAAAAAGTCGTGGGACGCAGGACAAATTGTTAAAAATCGGGATTGCCCCACCAAAAACGGGACATCTTGTCACCTTATTTATACAGCTTCCATCATCTGTGAAATTTTGTCTGATTACACTCTTTGCACTCTCTACATAGATTTCTTGATATATTATAAATAAATGATAAAATTATGAAAATACTAAAATACACTGACAGGCAAAAAATTCCACCCACTTGATTTTTTCATGTTTTCATCTAAAAATATTTCTGCTTTGGATTGGTTTATTGTTCTTAATGAATAAATAGGTAATCTTTTTGTTTGATTTCAATTAGGAATGTTAATATAGAGGACAATAACCCTTAATTCTTAATTGAATGAAATGATTCTAGGTTCCAATGTTTACTTTCTATAGAACCAAAATGTTTATTCAGTATCATTAGTTCAGTGCCGTTTCTTGCAGCACATTTCTTAGTCACACATTAGCGTGGTGTGGCACTTATTGATGATGGATGTTCCATTAGATATGCAGCTAATGCCATCGGAGTTCCATATGAAACTTTACGAGACGCCATCAGGCGTTTTTGGGAAACTGGTTCTTACAATAGAAGGCCCGGTTCTGGACGGCCTAAGGTAACAGAACCACAGAATGATCGGTTTTTGACTTTGAGAATTTTACGAAACTGGCACCTTGCCGTTGTTCAAGGGATTCATCAGCTCGAAGAAGTTCGAGGTGTGCAAATTTCTGAACGTACCGCTCGGAGAAGATTAAATGAGTATGGATTAATGGCTTTTTGTCCAGTAAGAGGACCAGAGTTGACCAGAACTCACAGAATAACACGGCTAGTTTTTGCTCGAGAACACAGCCATTGGACTATGGACGAATGGAGTGCTGTACTTTTTACAGATGAGTCAAGATTCGCTCTTCAATCTCCAGACGGGCGTGAAAGGGTGTGGTAAAGAAGAAACGAAAGATATGCAGCCTGTAATTTTTCCCAGAGCCAACCTTTCCAACGTGGTTCCTTAATAGTGTGGGCTGGGATTTCAATGGAGCGCCGTACAGAATTGGTTGTTGTTCGTGGAGGGTCTTTAACGGTCATTCGCTATGTAGATGAGATTTTGGAACCTCATGTGTTGCCTATCCTCAACGAAATCGGCGATCTTTCTATTCTAATACATGATAATGCACGCCCACATGTCGCCCGCATAGTGCAGACGTTCCTTCAACAGAACAATATTGAGGTTTTAGCCTGGCCAGCACGTTCTCCAGATTTAAACCCCATTGAGCATTTATGGGATAACCTCGGAAG